TAAAGCGGGGTGTCCGAGGAAAGGATATAGAGAGGGACGGGGATTAGGATAAAGGCATCAGAAGATTATAGCTACCAGGGAAGCAAGTAAGAGGAAGGGAGTTCCATTGTCGGGAAGTGCAAGAGAAGGAGGAGTAGAAGAGGTGTTTACATAAGCATTTCATCCTAAGAAAGGCGGGAGTGCTACCAGTACGCAAGGGGTTACAGGGAGTGAGAGCTGGACTCTAAGTGGGTGTTTGAAAGAAAGGATATAGAGAAGGACGGGGATCAGGATCAAGGCATCAAAAGATGTCGATTGACGTTATATTTGAATATTTGAAGATTTTAGCTATCAGGGAAGCAAGTAAGAGGAAGGGAGTTCTACTGTCGGGAAGTGCGAGCTAAGAAGCTGTTGGAGTAGAAGAGATGGCTACATTTATCCGTTTTGACAGTCAAACGGTGGGACCGAGATGCCAACCTAGTAGCGCGCTTAAATTCATGCAGTTAAGAAGACAGCAGACAAAGAAATATTAACATTGCATTTACAGTTTTGAAGATCAAAGTTGTCTGGAAAGCATGGAGCCGGAAGAGAGTTTAGAAAGCGCGAGAGAAGGAACTGTTAGCATAGAACTTACGGTTATACCTAGTTATTTCACATGTAAAATGATGAAACCTTACTGCCGACCTAGGGTTGTTCTTAAATTCATAAAGTCTAGGTACCAAAGATGTAGTTCACCAGAACAATTACCATTAAAATAATTATAGAAAATACTTTGTGCTTGACTGTTATCTTGTGTTCCATTGTCTAGAGCCACTGATTCTCTCATCTTTTATATTCACTGGTAGATACATTGGACTCCAAGAATATGTCAAGCGCTGTGATGTGTCCCAAAATAACAGGATTGTATTTGTTGCACGATATATTATTGGCATCTTAAAATCATGGACTGAACATGTGAGCAATGATGAAGCCCCAGGGAGAATGGCAACAAAATGAACACCCGCGCTTAACATCAGAAAGAGACATCTGAAAATTATAAAAAAGTGAATTCGCCATCTTATATCATTAACTTTACTAATTTACTTTTTGTATGAATGAATCATTGTAATATATATATATATATATATATATATATATATATATATATATATATAATATAAGTTATGAAGAACTTGGTAATCCGTATGGGTAATCTCAAGAAGGATGAAATCCTGAGAGCTCAATGTAAAACCAGAGCTAATATTTAAAAAAGAAAACAGACCACTTTAAGGTACCATTACAATAACTTATTTCACCATGGTACCTTAATGTGGTCTGTTTTTCGTTTAAATATATATATATATATATATATATATATATATATATATATATATATATATAAGGACGAGGACATAATAAGGGAAGAGGACTTGGAAAATTTGACATTCACAGGAGAGACTGAAGAACAGAGGGGACAGAGAATATGAATGCATAATCGAACATGGCGAGTTTAAGCAAACGGATGGCTTAGAAATTTTAAGAGAAAATACAAAAAAAAAATGCACTAAGAGCTACAAAGGATAGGAAATTGTGGAGACCCATTATCGCCACGCCGTGAAGGTACACGGCAGAGAGAAGAAGAATGAGTTAGCATTTTTAAAATATGGATGTCGGAAAAAGATTTTGGAGAGAGAACAAAAAGAAAAAAAATATTAAGAGCTACCAGAACAGGAAGTCGTGGAGAGCCATTATCGTCAATGTTCTGAAGGGACATGACGCATTGAAGACGAGATTTGGTTAAATATATGGTGGAACAAGATTTAGGGGAGATGCAAACTCTCTATACATCCTTTGTTCAACCAGTTCGAAGTCCTGACCTCCTCTGCCGACAAGGCTGAATGCTTTGCTCGGAAATTTTCATTCAACCCAACGCTCGACTTATACCCGACTTCCCTCTTAGAACTGAGGCCCTATTGAGTGGGTTACACATAACCCCGTCTTTGGTATTGGGCATTATCTCCAATTTAGAACCCGACAAAGTCTTCGAAGCCCTAATCAATACCGAAGTGATTAACCACCTCACATCCCATGATCTGCTCTCAGACAAGCAATATGGCTTCCGCTTTGCCCGATCTACAGCTGATGTGCTTACGGCAATCACTGAAACTGTCTACCGAGCTCTTCAAAATAACGCGGAAGCTCGTGCCGTGGCCCTAGACATCTCCAAAGCATTTGATAGGGTTTGGCATGCCGGCCTTCTTCGCAAGCTCCAGGGTTATGTCATTACGGGTCGATTGTTTCACCTAATACAATCATTCCTGTCAAACCGTTAATTGAAGGTCGTTCTCAACAGATTCTCCTCCAGTTCCTATCCCACGAACGCAGGTGTTCCTCAAGGCTCCATCCTAGGCCCCATCTATTCCTTATCTACATAAATGACCTTCCTGACGCCATAAATACCCAAGTTGGCATCTACGCGGATGACACCACAATTTATTCCTGCCTCAAAAACAAATCTAATTTCGCTGACAAAACTAACCTGGCCGTGCGTCTCGAAAAGGACCTCCAATCGGTTGTGAACTGGGGCAGGAATTGGCTGGTCAACTTTAATGCCTCAAAAACAAAACTGTTCTCTATTAATCACCACAGAGATCCTTCCCTGCCCTCCATTAGAATGTCTGATGCTCAACTTCTCGAGAGCACCTCTCTGCGGCTGCTCGGTCTCACGTTGACTGCTGACCTGAGATGGAATAAATACATTGAGTCAATTGCTTCGTCCACCGCAAGGAAAGTTGGCTCCCTGTGGCGCACCAGAAAATTTTTCTCCCCGGAATCGATCCTTCAGATCTACAAATCAACAATTCGCCCTTGCATGGAGTATTGCTGCCATATATGGTCTGGAGCCCCTTCTGTTTGCCTCGGGGTTCTTGATAAGATCCAAAGGCGGATATGCAATATAATTGGCCCTGTGCTGGCATCTCGTCTACAATCGCTCTCTCACAGACGCGCCGTCGCCTCTCTCCGTCTTTTTTACAAATACTTTCATTGTAATTGCTCCGAGGAGCTGCATTCGCTGGTTCCCAGACTTCATGAATTCAAGCGCCCTACGAGGCTGGCATCCCGCTCTCACCATTTCACTGTCGAAACTACTAAATGTAGCCGTCTCTTCATGTCTCGCACCTCTCGCCTGTGGAACTTCCTTCCCTATTCCAGTTTCCCTGAGAGCTATAATCTCCAGCTATTCAAATGTAATGTCAATCGACATCTCCAGTTGCCTTGATCTATCCACTATCCTTCTCCTCACCCTTTCTTCTATCACTCCTATCTGATCTTGCTCCAAATCTTCTGTAACCCCTTGCGTCCTAGTGGCTTTCCGCCTTGCTTGGGATGAAACGCTTAAAAATAAAAATAAAAATAACAAAAAGTCAAAATTTATTAAGATCTTACAAAGAACAGGAAATTGCAGAGAGCCATGATCGCCAACGTTCTGAAGCGACACGTCATATTGAAGAAGAAGGTTCGGTATGTATTAGTGAAAGAATGACGTATATCAGGAGGCAGAGAAACATCAATATCACAAGAAGAAATGCGGGGTTCAAATCAGGCTGTCACACTTCTTTATTATCAAAGGATATTGTTTTGTTATATTCTCTCTCGTTTAATCTCACGGATGACTTATTACGATTAAAGAATTAATCCTATACTTTATCTGATAATGCTATAATTCAGATGAATTAATCTATGCATTATTAGTTAATCCCTTAAGACAGATCGAAGAATTAATCCTATACTTTTTCCGTTAATGTTATAATACAGATGAATTCCTCTGACACATTATTGTCCTTGCCATTCTTTTGTACGGCTCAGAGTTATGGACTCCATACAGGTACCAAATACGCCAGCTGGATGTTTTCCATAAATGCTGTCGGCGTGCCATCTGTGAAGTTAACCTTCAAGATAAGACATCTGACGTAGACTTGTTCAACAGGTGTAATATTGGAGGAATAGAGACTTTTCTCATACAGTCTCAGTTACGGTGGACTGGTCATCTGTGTATGCATTTCTGGGTATTATAAACCTAATGTCTTCAGCAAACGATTTTTTTACCAGTGCTCATACTGAACAGCAAATAGGAAAGATAACGAAAAGGCAAAATTTATTAAGAACTTCCAAAGTTCTGAAGGGACACGTCATATTGAAGAAGAAGGTTTGGTATGTATTAGTGAAAGAATGACGTATCCCAGGAGGCAGAGAAACATCAATATCACAAGAATAAATGCGGGGTTCAAATCAGGCTGTCACACTTCTTTATTATCAAAGGCTATTTTTTGTTCAATTTTCTCTCATTTAATCTCACGGATGACTTTTGACGATTAAATTAATCCCATACTCTATCCGTTAATGCTATAATACAGATGAATTAATACTGTACATTATTAATTAATCCTATAAAACAGATCGAAGATTTAATCCTATACTTTATCCGATAATGCTACAATCTGCTTCCTTCAGACCTGCTTCCTGTGTGTTGGCCAGTTTTTATTTCCTTCTATCACGAAACGCATTTTTAATGAAAGGCAATGTGCCATTTTGTATCAGAATTGGATGAGTTTTAAATGTCTATTATCAATGGATGTTTTTTTTCCTTTTGAAAGCAAGACATTTTGAAGAAAATGCAAGAATTTGCAAATCATTGTTGAACAAAGCCAACAATGGGTAATTAAAATAGTTTTTGTTGAAATCTTTTGAGTAAATGTTTATTTTTTTATCGATCTTTTTCTTTCTTTCTTTCTTTCTTTCTTTCTTTCCTTTTTCTATTTAGTCTTTCTTTTTATTCTTATTGTAAAATATTGTAATAAATAAAAGTGCTGATACGTGATACCAATCCTGGTTGCTGGGCAATCTTCTGACATATGAAGAATAAACTGGTTTTTGGTTTGCTTTATTTTGTTTTACGGTTTATTTAACCTCAATTTTAGGTTTATTTAATGCCGATCAAGATTTTAGTGTGGTTTGTTTTGTTTTACGGCATATCAACCTCAATGGGTTATATTAACAATTTTTATCTATTCTATCTATCTATCTATCTATCTATCTATCTATCTATCTATCTATCTCTATCTATATCTATTTCTGTGGTTTGTTTTGTTTTGTTTTACGGCATATCAACCTCAATAGGTTATTTAATGCCGACAAGATTTTTATTGTGGTGGTTATATCTATCTATCTATCTATCTATCTATCTATCTATCTATCTATCTATCTATCTATCTATTCATATATATTTCTGTGGTTTTTGTTTTGTTTACGGCATATCAACCTCAATGGGTTATTTAATGTTTTTGTTTCTATCTATCTATCTATCATCTATCAATCCTCATCTATGGGTTTGTTTTGTTTTTTCATTAATGCCGACAAGATTTTTATTGCTGGTTCTATCTATCTATCTATCTATCTATCTATCTATCTATCTATCTATCTATCTATCTATCTATCTATTTCTGTGGTTTGTTTTGTTTTACGGCATATCAACCTCAATGGGTTATTTAATGCCGAAAAATTTTTATTTTTCTATGCTATCTTCTATCTATTTTTTTCCAAAAAATCTATTGCTGGTAATATCTGTATTTTGATCAATAATTTTTTATTGCAAAAAAATATTGCTGGTAATTGCTTTTTTTTTTTCCAAAAATATTTCTTGGTAATATTTTGTTTCTTCAAAAATATATTGCTGGTAATAATTTTTTCTTCAAAAATTCATTTCTGGTAATAATTTTTTTTACAGAAATATATTACTGATATTAAAACCTATTTTTACACTTTCATAGTGTTGTGACACCAGTTTGAAAGTTCACTATTTGCCCATAGCTCGGGCCCTAACAGGTGCTACCACCCCGAGTCAGAAGGGGACCTGGGAACACCAGCAATTAAGAGTTGAATCGGCGCTCCTTAAAACTTCTTGATCATAGGCCTTGCTGTTGGACGTAGATATCATCGAAAAAACTGGAGGCAACAGAAATATAGCTCTACAGAAGGATGCTGAGAATATCATAGACGAAGAGTGTAAACTTCAAGGAAGTCTGAAAGAAAAATGACAAAAAAGGGCGCTTCTATTTGAAATCAGGAAAAAAAGAAGAAGTGAAATTCCATAATATTTATTGGCATCTTAAGATCATGAACTGAACATGTGAACAATGATGAAACCCCAGGGAGAATGGCAGCAAAATGGACAGCCACACTTAACATCAGGGAGACACATCTGAAAATTCTAGGACGTATAATAAGGAAAGAGGACTTGGAAAATTTGCCATTCACAGGAGAGAATGAAGGCAAGAGGGACAGAGGATATCAATGGATAACCAACATGGCGAGAAACCTAACACTCATATGACATATAGGAAGGTAAGATGGACAGAGAGGAACAACGATTAACCTACATTGCTAAAAGTTAGAAAGAATATATATATATATATATATATATATATATATAAAATGTAAATTATATTTGCTCTACACTGTATTGAGCACTCTTTTAAGTATAGTAGTTTTTTGGTTATTGGAATTTATTCTGTATGCACCAATCCTATACTTAGGTATAGATATATATATATATATATATATATATATATATATATATATTAGAATGAATCATTCATACAAAAAAGTAAATTAGTAAAGTTAATGATATAAAATGGCGAATTCACTTCGCTAACTAAATTTAGTTAGCTAAGTGAATTCGATGTTTTATATCATTACCTTTACTAATTTACTTTTTGTATGAATGATTCATTGTAATATAAAATTAAGCTGCACACACACACATATATATATATATATATATATATATATATATATATATATATATATATGTGTGTGTGTGTGTGTGTGTGTGTGTGTGTGTGTGTGTGTAATTATAACCAGTCGATCGCAGAAAGAAACGGCGTGGAAATTCTTCTGCCTTGTTAGTTATAAATCGCAAGAGACATGAGCCCCCCCCCCCAGGCGTGTATTACGTTTGGTTTGAATAGAAGGACAGACTGGATACTATAGCCTTGGTTGGCAACCAGTCTATCACTGAAAGAAACGGCAACCTCCTGCGGGAAAACCTTCTGCCTTGTCTGTCGAAAAAGACATGATCGCCCAAGTTTGGTTTGAATTGCAGAACACACTGGACCCTATAGCTTTGGTTAGCAACCAGTCTAACGCAGAAAGAAATGGTAACCTACTGCGGGAAATTCTTCTGCCTAGTCAGTGATGAATCGAAAGAGACAAGATCGCCGAAGCGTGTATCACGTATGGCACTTAACTGACTGATTTATTCATCTTATATAAAAGCACAAATATAAAAAAAAGGGAAACTTTTAACAAAAAATCATCAACTGTTCTTCGTATGCGAAGAAGTCACAAGAATGAGATGCCTCTAGATTCAAATTTGAATCGCGTGATGACCATTTCTCCCGGCCTGTGTTCACTGGTAACTGATAACCAGCCTCGATTGTTCGTAGTCCAACGTGTTCGGCGACATGCAGTGTGGTCTAGAGCCCGTCATTCCCAGTTGTTTGCATCGATCTGCATTGCTTTCAGGTCCCTCTTGATGCCGTCTTCATAGCCAGAGACTTTGAACGCCTCAGCGTCGCTTCCCGCACTTGAGTTCACCATTCAAATCAATCAAGTGTCGTCCAAACGATACACAATCTCAATCTAATGTAGTCTCGCTGCTGCTAACATATGGCTTCTACATTTGGTATTTTTGCTCTGGTAAGGACCTTGGTGTTAGGCATATTGTCTTTTCACGAGATATGCTTGATGTAATACAAATGGCGGCACTGCAAACTTGTCAAGTAATTGCTATCCCTACACTGTGGGGGTGCAGATTCCAGAGCGTAAATTGAGGTTGATAATAAACAAATTTATATATATTCACATACATTAATTCATTCAATTACTTTTTTTTTCTAATAAAGTAGCAAAAAATAAGTTAAACTGAGAATGAAAAAAAAATTGAAAGAAAGAAAAAAGAATAGACGGGCAATCATTTTATTTAATAAAGGGCTTCCTTACACTATTTACATTGTTCGGACAGTTTTCTTCATCTTTATTATCATATTCACTCTTTTAAGTATAGTAATTTTTTGGTTATTGGAATTTATTCCGTATGCACCAATCCTATACTTAGGTATATATATATGATTTAATTTGCGCATATGATTTAATTATAGTGGTGAAGGCCACACTCTCTTGAAGAACCGAATACTAGAGACCTGGTGCACCGTGTGCTACAAGGTCCGAAGCTTCAAATGTTTTGAATTCAGAGTTGTCCTTCTCCTACACCAGTTGCCATCCAAAGCTATAGAACCCAGTCTGTCCTGCTATTTACACATTGCTGGAGGGAGAAGAAAAGGATTCATACTTTTCCCAAGGGTATTGGCATGTAAGTGAATGCAATGGATTCGACTGGAATTCGAACTCCGATTCCTCAGTCCGAGCCGCTATTACACCACTCTACATCCTATCTATCTATCTATCTATCTATCTATCTATCTATCTATCTATCTATCTATCTATCTATCTATTTGTGCGTGTGTGTGGGGTGGAATTAATATAATTAAAAGATTGTCACTTAGCTGATTGATGTTACCTTCAGCATTCTGACTTCAGTATTTCGTAGACGGACATGTCTGTCTACTCTTCAGAGGGTATCAGCAAATGACTGCTTATATTTCTAGACATTTTATGCACTTATTTGTGTAAGTTTTTTCCGTATTATTTGTGTGCGTTTGCGCGGATTTGATTTGGTTTGGTCTATTTTCTTTGACGGTATATCAACCTCAATGTGTTATTTAATACCGACAAGTATTGCTGCTAGTATTTGTTTTTCAAAAATGTATTCCTGGTAATAATATATTGCTGGTAATAATTTTATCATCAGAAATTCATTGCTGGTTAATAACCTTTTGCAAAAATGTTTCCTGGTATTAAAACCTATTTTTACACTTGACTCCAGTTTGGGGTGGGGGTCACATATTTGCCCATAGTTGGGATCCTAAAAAGTACTACCACCCCGGGTCAAGTTGGACCTGGGAACACCAGCAATTAAGAGGTGGCTCAACGCTCCTCAAAATCTCCTGATCAGAGGCTTTGCTGCTGGACATAGTTTATCATCTTACCCAGGACGCGGATTTAGTTTATCGTCATTCTCAGAATGGGGCTGATTTGAAGAAATTTGACAAATGGAAAAGCATTTCATTGAAACTAGATTTGATTACACCTTTCTAGGGTTCATAAAATCCAAGAACGAAAGAAAGAAATATGTGTGTGTGTGTATATGTGTATTTGCTTAAAGAATAAATCATTAGTAGTTTTTTTTTCTGCTTGGCTGGCGTTTCTCTTGATGAAAGAAAAGAATGATAATCAGTGACTTTAAAAAAAATCCGTTAATATATATTTTTTAAGCATTTCACCCTAAGCAAGGTGGGGAGCCACTAGCACGCAAGGGGTTACAGAGAGTTGGAGCGAGAGCAAAGAGGAGTGATAGAGGAAAAGATGAAGAGAAGGATAGAGGATAGATTAAAGCATCTGGAGATGTCGATTGACATTACATTTGAATAGTTGGAGATTATAGTTATCAGGAAAACAAGAAATGGAGAGTGAGTTCCACAGGTGAGAGGTGCGAGATATGAAGGTATTAGAGTAGAAGAGACGGCTACATTTAACAGTTTCGACAGTGAAAGGGTTTGAGTGAGATGCCAGCCTAGTTGAACGCTTAAATTCATGAAGTCTGGGAACCAGCGAAAGCAGCTCATCTGAGCAGTTACCATATTCTGAATATAAAACAAAAAACACTATCATTGAAAGAGGAGACAGAAATACAGAGCAATGGAGACAAAGAGTGTCTGATTGGAGATTCTGAAGACATCAGGAGAAGAAAACAGCATTGGTCTGTGTAGAAAAGCTTGGTAAACTATGGATAAGAAGAGACAGAATATCTGAGAAGGGAAGATTAAAGCTGTATAATACCTTGGTGAAACCAGTTTTAACCTACAACTGTGGAACTTGAAGAAAGAAGAGCAGGAGCTAAATAGTTTCCACAGACGACAACTGCGAAATCTGAGAGGGAAAAAGTACCCTCATAATATCGCCAACAAGAACTTTTACAGCAGATGTCAAGAATCTTATTTGAAAGCAAGATGGAAGCTTCTTGGACATTTTCCGAACGGATCCAGAATGCCCAGCTAACAAAACCATGGAATTTTACTTTGAAAAGACTGACTTCAAAAAAGTTCAGAGGTCATCCAAGAAGCACCATAGTCACAACGCTGAACCGAGACATTCAAAGAACAAGGCAGAAAGATCTCACTTTTCATTTGGAGAAGTTTACAGTCAAGGAAGACCTGCAACGAATCCGCAAACTCGTATAGGACCGAGAAGGCTGGCAAAATATTGTCGTATCAATATACAGTGCCACTGAAGATGAGAGAACATGACCCCAAATCGAAACAGTTTTGATGAAGATGATGATGATGATATCTTTTCTTTATAATTCTTAGTCCTGTTTCATTCGAGAAATCTTGTCAGAAAAATATGCGTCCTCCGGCATGATTAGAATATAAATATATCTATATATATTTATATTATATATATATCTATATCTATCTATCTATCTATCTATCTATCTATCTATCTATCTATATATATATATATATATATATATATATATTGAAGGCATTGAAGTCAACGGCCAGCAGCAACAGTCTCTTTCATACTTAAATCAAATTGTCACGCCATCGATGAATTCGTTTAAGCATGAAACAGACTGTCGCTTCTGGGTGTTAACTTCGATTTTACACTTTCATATTTATATACAGTCACTGATATTGATCACTTTAATCCATATACATACCATACCTTAAACTGTATTTTAACATAATATATATATATATATATATATATATATATATATATATATATATATATATAAATATAAAAATAATAAGAAAGAAAAGTAAGATTTATAATCCGGTGTTCTTAGCAATTATTAAAAATAAAAACAAAAAGAAAAAACAGTAGAGTATAATATTATAATTATTTTCTTTTTCAAACATATGAATCAATCGAGACACAAAAATTCTGTTTCAAAACTGAAATTTCTATGTTACAACTTTAGTATATGTATAATAATAATAATAATAATAATAATAACAATAATAATAATGGACTCTCCCGTCGGTTTCGACGTATGAGGATCTGCCAGCTTATTGATTCAGTTATGAAAGATTATGCGATAATCTTAAGTGGCATTTAAGACCCCGCTAGTGATTTACAAAGGTGGCCGCATATGGAGCAGGTGTGAAGATTGTGAGATGAAATCACACTTAGATTGACTGACCTTTTAGATCTTACTCTCGCTTCTTGAAGATGATTCAGACAAGCAGATTGAAAATTGCTGAGTCCACTAAAACACGTTGATCTCCATTCTACTCGCTCCAAAGCTAAGCGCTTGAGGGTGTTATGTGGTATATTAACTACTGACAAGTTGCTTTTCAGCTTGTTTTTGTATCTTAGCCATGGACGTCCTACATTCTTGTAGCCCTGATCTAACTGGATCATATATATATTAACTTTAATAATACTCATATATATATATATATATATATATATATATATATATATATATATATATATATAATAAAAATCTGTGGATAAGCAATCTGAGTGAATCCTATTAATATAGATATTAAAACTGATCCACAAAAGAGAGTTCAGTATATTTCTTATAGAGCATTAAAATGAATTACATAAAAATGAAAAATTGAGGTACAATTTAGTTTTCATTTATATATATATTAACTTTAATATAGTCATTTTGTAATACTTTAAATTATTATTAAATTACTATTAAATTATTACCTGATATAATCCTTACATTTTGTATAATAACTGCTAATAATTGAGTCTAAATGAATTTCAAATTAGTACTACGATAAAATCTGTTATGAACTTGAGAACGCTTAAATATTCGGAAGCATTATAAAACGACGATATTAAAGTTAAAATGTTAATAGCAATAGGAATAATAATAATAATAATAATAATAATAATAAATAAATAATGCCATATAAATTAACAATAATATCCAAGTTTATGTATATTTATATTCATGTCTATCAATATATATATATATATATATATATATATATATATATATATATATATAAGAAATAGAGTTTTAAGGTGTGCTAAATTTATGAGATAAAGTGCTCAATATCAGAGATCGAGCGAATGTAAATATAAACATAAAAGTGAACATTGTAGTCAACACTCAGAGGCTACAGGCTGTTTCATGTTAGGCGCAATCGTCAGGCCGCGAGTGTTGGATTTTTCTCGACTATTTATATATATATATATCTGGGTCAGTGGTGCATTTTTTTTACTACGTTAATAAAACTTCGAAAACCGAAAAGAACAAATAAATATATAAAATAAAAAATGAAAAAACAAATAACCCAAATAAATAAATAAATAAACAAGCCACCAACGCCAAAATAACCGCCAGAGTAACCGCCTGAATAGATTACCCAAAATGCACCACTGACCCATATATATAATTAGTCGAGAAAAAGTCAAATATTCGAGGCTTGACGATGGCGTCTAGCATGAAACAGTCGCCTCTGAGTGTTGACTTCAATGTTCATATATATATATATATATATATATATATATATATATGTGTGTGTGTGTGTGTGTGTGTTCAAATCGTTTGAAGATCGCGTGAGCGTGAAACTTGGGTTACGACCAGGGAGATTCTTTCATAGGATTTAACGTTGTTAAGCGTGTTTTCCTGTGTCTAGGCAAACTAGGCTTCGAGCACTTTATGTTACTGAGTAGGTAGGTTTGCCTTTAGGCATTTTTTCTTTTATCTGCATTGTTTTTTTGTCCAAGGCTTTATCCTTTTTGTATTTCCTGAATCAACTCAGGTTAAACATGTAACAACGGCTTGGTTTATATACAATTTGTCGTGTACAGCGATTTTAACCCTCCCCCACCCACTGCTATAATCGAATGACACTGGGATCGCTTTTTAGAGTTCACAGTCTGTGTTATTTCAGTTTAGTTATGTACGATGCGTGATAAACGCTAAATGCGATCATCTATCTTTCGATACATGACTGACGAGGCAGATTTTTTTCCCCGCAGAAGGTTGCTATTTTTTTCTGCGGTTGACCATTTGCCATCAAAGGCTATACAACCCGATCTGTCCTGCTATTTACCCATAGCTGGGTGGAGATGATGATTCATACCTTTCCCAAGTGTATTTACATTATACATACTTTATTCTCTCAGTAATGCTTGCCTTCATTCCTGACCACTGACAATCCATCTCTTCCTCATTTACAATGCGTTCCTATAATAAAATCATTCGTAAAAGAAAGAAAAAAAAGGAAGAGAGAAAGAAAGAATGGCAAAACTTGCTTAACAGACACACGTACAAAATTCAGTCAGGTATGTGCCATGCGTGATACATGCTTAGGCGATCATGTATCTTTCGATACATGACTGACGAGGCAGATTTCTTTTTACCGCATTAGGTTGCCATTTCTTT